TCTTAAACCAACTGATTAACAAAACCACATTATATAAATAATAATTACAAATATAAAAATATTTAAGAACTAAAAGTATTCCTTTGCAATAAACAAATCATGCCTTATAAGAATGTAGACCAAGTAATCATCACATACTATTTCTGTTTACATAAAACTTATCGATGACTTTGATAGAATATTTACAATATTGTGTAAAAGTAAATAAAAATTTTCATAGTCGTAGTAAAATAATAAATCTTTCTTATAAAGTTAAAGGCATTTTAATGCATTTTTTTATAAAATACCTATTTGCGTAAACTAGATTAGCTAATTTAAAAAGAAAAGAACAAATAAATAATAGCTAGAGTGAAGGAAAATATTTGAACACCTAGTCAGCAACTTTAAAAGATTTAAGTGAACTTAAAAGCAAATCTTCGATTATATTAACATATGTAGTGTCTTCAAGAGGATGACTTATGGATGAAATGTGTTTAAGTGGGTATACATAAAGAATAACTGTCAGGAACGACTGTTGCCTACTTGAAGAAAAATTTTTAAGATTGTTTATTATTTACTTATCGGACAGTTATGTTAAAGCAAATATTGCTTTTGCAAAAATATTTAAATGAAAATATTATTCACTTCAATCGAATTGTGAAAATTAAAATGAAAAGTAAATAATGTGTAAATTATAAGAATATAAGGAAATGATTAAATGAAAAAATAATTAAATATCTTTATTAACAGTTTTGAGAACTAGACAATTTTTTAGAAATTTAATAAAATATTCTATCTGTACCAAGCTCCTGCTGTTGGTGATTTATTGTTGAAATTACGTGTATGAGATTGTATCTATTAGCATTCTTGTACAATTGATAGCAAAAATTTGGAATAATGTTAATTTTTATACTTAAAAAATTAAATTATAAATTACTATTAAAAACCCTCTTAGTCAAATATGTTAAACAAATCTTCTTAGTTTTTACAGCAAATTTCTTTTAAACTCTGACTTAGCTTTCTATGCAAATCTAAAATTGTTGAAGTAAAAGAAATAAATTGAAGAAATAGATTTCACCAATTGATTATATCAAAAACAATATTCCAACACCAAAAATCTGCCAAAATACTAATAAAATTCAGTATACTTCGTTTCATATTGGGCTATATTCTTCTCAAATATAAGCAATCCAATGATATTCCAGCCTTTCTATAAAAAGATATATTGAGATCCTCAATAGACCTATATTTGATGATTACTTTTTCATGCAAGACATATTTTTTTACTAGGAAAAATTGGTTTTCTCATGAACTAAGTATGTGATCAAAATTTTGATTTTAATTTTAGCTTTAACAGCTAAAACATAATAGAGTTCAACCGGTTTGGAAACGTATAGTAACAGCTGTTCTTATCACATTATAGATCTATATATTACTTTTGTACAGTAAAAGTTTTGTTAAAAGGAAAAATAAAATACAAGAAACGGTGGGTATCAGGTTTCCGGCAGTAATGGAAAGGAAAAAATAATGAATTGCTATCGTAAGCTCGTAGCTAGAAGGTGGCCTAAGATCGTTCAACTCCTTTACCTCTCACAACAGTTAATATTATTATTGAAAGAATAACAATATTTCCACAAAATTTATTTTTGATCCTAAAAATACAGCGAAATTTGATAAATACAGGCAGATACAAAGACATCAGATCCATTATATTATAAAGCCCCGTATTCAGTTATTCTTAGTGTGACTTAAAACTGTCCACAGATAAAATAGAGTAAAGGTGCTGATTCACCAACTCAGACATCTGAATATCAAAAACAAAATTTAATGCATCATTAAACAAACTGAGTGCACTCAAATAAATAAATTTAGATGATTTATTTTATCATTATTTGATTTTCAAACTGCAAGATACTCTCAAAATAAATATTAATTATAAACAACTATGTCTGAGTATGGACGTGTATCACCTATTAAATGCAACTATGGCTAACCAAAAAATTGGTTGGAATTTGTACTGCTAGTACTCTTCGGGTTGAATAAAAAAATATATGTTAAGATAGACTGAAATTGTACAAGGGAAAAGATGTTAGGTTTTATCATGGCTTCGCTAGACCACACATACTTATCTGTAGAAAGTCAGTAAACTAAAAGGACTTGGATTTAAAAGTTTTGTTGTATCCACCATAGATGCTATAATAATACCGTCAAATTACCTTTCATTTGGACTTTCAGAAGTCTATTTTCATGTATAAAATTTATTTTAAACGAATATTTTAAAAACATCTACGGCAGTTTATCAAATATAAGAATTCTACTTTAAAGTAATGTTGATATTAGCCAGAAAATTAAGGATAATTATAGAAAAAGTTGTCTATATTTTAATTAATAATAGCGTTCATGAAAAAAAAATTTGTTGACTTAAAACAACCAAAGAATTTTTGTTTATTTAATATTTATTTATTGTTAATTTAATTATTTATTGTTTATATAATTAATATAATATTTTTTTAATATTAATGCATCTACGATAGTTTTTCAAAGATAACAATTCCACAATAAAATGAATTTAGCCAAAAAAAATTAAAGATAATTTTGGAAAAAGTCTACATCTACATCTTCTACATCTTGATTAATAGAACGTTTTCTGGTGAGACCGTTTCCGAAAAAAGAATTTTTTGACTTAAAATACCGAATAATTCTTGTTTATTCAATAAATTATTTAAATACACTAAAATAAAATAAATTAATATTTTTTTTAATATTAATGTTATTAATTTTAATTTTAATATTATAATTATAATATATATATAAATTTAAAATATAAAAATTATTTATATGTCATTATATAATATTATCTTCACAATATTATTAAATTATTATAAGAATTTGTTTATTCTTCTTTGAATAAGCATGTCATTAATAAATTAATTTTATAATAATTTATAATAATTAATGTTTTAATGACCAAAAAAATTTTTTATAATAATAATTAATTCACGGGCTAATGGTCAGTTATTAAATAAAAAAAAAAAAATTTTATTATTGGATAATAAAAAATGTTAATAAAACTAAATAATAAAATTTTTTTTTTTTATTATAATAATTTATAAATAATTCTTTATATTGTATAATGAATTTAAATTTATGTTTAATAATTATATAATGATAATGTAATTTATAATTTATAATTATTTATAAAAATAATAATATTGTAAAAATAATAGCTTAATTTAAGTTATTTTTGAAGAATTCATATACTATAGCAAATTGTCATATCAAATAATATACTTTTTAGTTTTTGGACAAAATATGATGTTAAGAGTATATATTGTATTTTATAGTTTTCAAATTTGCTACTGAATGCTTTGAAATTTTTTCCTCATTTATATAGAAATGAAAAGAATTATACATTCATGTCACAGCTTCATGCAAACAATTACTTTGCTGGACCTATTTTAATACACAACATATCTGTAATAATTTATGCATCAAAAGAAAGCGACAAAGCTCTCAAATCATTTATAGTAGCAGAGCATAAGAGAGGCTTTTACCCAACTGCACCGACTATTGCAAGTACTGCGACTTAAGCCAAGTTTAAAGCTATAATGTTGTCGGTTTAAATAATTTAGTCGTTTAGCATAATATTGCGTTTCATTTCTGAAACTTAAATATGTAAATATAATATATTTTAAAGTCATTATATTCGCTCTCTTGGTTTAGCTATTAGTTTAGGCCAGCACTGGTTAAGAGATCGAACGCATACAAACATGTATGGTGTTGGAAGTTGACCAGAGTATGGCTCATGTGTGCGCATATTCGCCCGCATTTAGATACATAACACGATTACTTATACGTACCGTTGAATTGTTGAATTGTAGATACAAATAAGCAAATGCACGCACACATTCACACACAGTAGCATAAACAATAGCAACAACAAAATGAAGAGATAAATGAAAAAAATGTAAAATAGTAAAACGTTGGCGACAATACAGCCAAACGACAAGAAATGGGGAATTACTTTCCCAAATGTGGTATAAAAGCGCTTGTCCAGCTATAGCACATGTCTCATTAGTGTTTAGTGTCAGATCTCGT